TATTTTAAAATAATGTCAAAATTTTAACTTTATTAACTGTCTTCTTCTTCCAGATTCAGCTAAAGTGTGGCTCTTAACATAATCCCAAGTTTTGAAGCTACTAGAAGAAGGTAAACACCTAGTGATTTCAACCTCTTTTGGTCAGCCTCAGCATTTCGTCAGAAACAATTCCTATTGACCACAATATCTGCACTTTCAGTCTATTTTTCCCCTACCAAAAACAAGAAAAAAGTTCAGCGAGAGTTCCGGAATCATCCAGAAGGGGGCAAACATGCTTTATACACACAATGAAGAGAAACTTAGTAATAAACTGGTTACATTGAGGGAAAAATGGAGGTGGAGTTAATAGTGACATTTGACCCATGTTAGAAAGGAAACACTGCTACATATGCTTTAAAGATAAGATGTTTGTTTAATGTTTACACTTTACTCCTATTTTCAGTGCCAGAGGAAGCACTCCTGGAGGTTGGAGCCAGGTGTAACAGACTAATGTCTCTTCACAGAGAAGCAAAGCACTCGAAATCACTGCAAGCTGTTATACAAATTTATATTCTAAAAACTTTAAAATTAAAAATAGTCTTGTAAAATTCATTTCTGAAAGACTTTATCAAAAATGCTTACCTCATCTCAGATAATGTCATCGACTTAAGGATTAAGAAATTACAGACAGGAATTCAGCTGAAAGAAACACACAGAGATCCTGTGTAACTGAGTGAACTGTGGGGGTTCTCACTGTGTTTGCTCTTGCCATAATTGTCAGTCAAGATTTTCAGCTCTTGTGACCCAGACATACAGCTAAAACCAAGTGTAGTGCTCCAGGCCTAACTCCGCAATTCTCTGCCTCTCCTGATTAGAGTCCACGGTCCATCATTAGAATCACACTTCAATGTAGGCTCTGTGAAGTTCCTGGGCCCTCATTCTCAGTCCTGTTGGCCTTGCAAAACGCTGGCCCTAGTGAAATAGAACCTTAGGCCAACTCAGCCACTGTGCCAAGCTCCTAAACATGGCTGGATTAAAAAACAAGCAACAGCGCTAACTGATCTCATTTAAATTCATGGCCACTTACCCCTTGTGAACTTAGTGCTTACTGGAAAACTGACTTCTTAATTCTCTTTTCTTCTGTCCTAGACGACAATTTCATAACTCCTCTTTCTTTACATCTACAACATCTCTTTATCTAAATTCTCTGCTGCTTCTTATTTCACTGACAGTACGGGAGGGATCAGAATAGAATATCCATAAGCTCCTAACATCAAGTCTGCTAACCTACCTGGGTCTACCTGAAACCACCTGTTCTACCTTCCATCCTAATTTAGCGGAAGAAATGTTTGTCCTCTAAATCCAAGCCCTCCACTCTGCACTTGATGTCTCCCCTTTTGCCTAATCAGGGATTTCTCTTCTACTGTGTCTCCTCTTCCCTGCACCTGAAGGAGTACAAAGCAAACTGAAAAACTGACTTCCCTGAGGCGAAAACCAATTGCTGATTTGTTCTTTACTGAGAATCACTTTAACCAGAGGCTATGCTCCAGGAAGGAGATAACAGGCTGATAATCTCAGAAGAATGGGCAGACCCTCCGGAGTTCCTCCTGAAGATTTCTTGAGGTTAAGAGGAATGGAGCACCCTGTAAAATGCCCTGATTTTTATCACCTTTTCTGCTCCATCCAGTTTTTCTATAAAACCTCAAGGCCCCAACCCGATGGGCTCACAGTCTTTGGGGCACTAGCGTGCTGTGACTCCCCTTGCTGGATGGAGCAAAAAAGCTGCTCTTTTCTTTGCTCCCAAAACTCTGCCTCTGAGTTTGAATTCACTTTTCGGGGTGCAGTGACCGATTTTTCCGTAACACATCTTCCATTATTTGCTCTCTACTAGATGTTCCTATCAGTATACAAAGATCTAATGTTTCTCATTTTAAAGGAAAAAAAAATTCTAATCATTGCCCCACGCTCTGCTCCTTTTTATAGCAAAACTACTCAAAAAAGATAGCTCTACTTAACATTTCCATTTTTTTCTCCCACTTATCTACTTCTGCCCTCTCCACTACATAGAAACTTTTCTTCTCAACGTTATCAGTTACATCTATGTGTCCAAGTCCTATCACCTTAATTTATTAGGAGGACTAATATTCACTCCCTCTTCCTTCTTAAAGCTTTCCACTTGGCCCATGGGACAGTTCCTCTTATCTTCCTGCTCACTTCTTCCCATGGCCTTCTCGTACCCTCCTAGAGAATCCTCTACATATCAGAGTATCTTATGGCTCAGTCTTTCAAAGTCATCTATCCTCCGCCTATACCTACTTACAAAGTGATTTCATCTCAAAGACTTTTCATACCATGATGATTTACTAACTTTCATCTATAGCCATGCTATCTCTTGCTGCTGAATTTCAGACTGGTATATCCAGTTGTCTGCTTCCGGGATTCGCTAAGATATGACAGGCATCACAAACCTAGCATGTCCGAGAACAAACTCCTAGTCCCCTAAAGCTCTCTCCTGACCATTGCCTAAAAGTCCCTCAATGATTTCCACTTACCTACCTTTCTAACCTCATCAATTTCCCCTTTGGTCATTTCACTACAAACAAAACTAACTTCCCCGTCTCTGAAACACATGAAGCAGAAGCCCATCTATCTGCATATGCCAAACCTCTTTTTCAATGTATTCATGGCTTGCTCCCACACGTCTTCCAAATCTCTGCTCAAACGTTCCCTGACCACCCTATATAATCGCCCCACCCTTGCATCATTACACTGCTCCTTCATGGTCCTTTCCACCAACTACATCTATGCATTTATGCTCATCTCCTTCCACTGGAGCATAAGATCCATAAGGAAGAGATTTCTTTGTTCACTCCTGTGTCTCCAGTGCCTAGAACAGCAGCACATATTAGACACCCCATTAATATCTGCTGAATGAATATCAGTTTGCCTGATGACCAAACAACAGTTCATTGAAACTTACTTTTTAATCACATTTCAATTTCCTTTTTTTATTAAATTGGATTTGAAAACAATGAATAATTACAGGGACATAATTCTTTATAAATACTACTCAATAATCTATTGATTACAATCAAAACGCTTTCTGTAGAGTCTACTTTTCTGCAGAAGGGATGTATTGGTTTCATCAAACTCTTTAAAAGACCTCAAATTAAAAAAATTCAGAGTATTGCAAAGTGGATGGTTTTACTTCATGACCCCACATGATGATGCTTTACACAAGGGTTTGTTTGAGAATCCCTTACATCACACTATTGAATGTATCATATGCCATTTACCAAGCATGTCACTTAAGCAAATATGCATTTCACAACTAAGTCTAGAGTTCCAGTTACAGGATACTACCTGTCTTACACTGATACGTCAGTCAGCTCCTTACCAGTAAAAACAACGTGAATTCTTAGCAATGTCTAAAGACACAGATGCTGTTCTGTTTGTAGTCACTACTCTCCTTTCATGTTCCTATCTCTGTCACAGATATTCAGTATCACATACCAAGCTTCATGTGTATGATCATTTTCTCACACTGTTGTATCAGTGCTTTCATATTAATGCAGGAAATTTTTAGTTTATCTGTAATTCCTTGAATGCAACTCTATTTCTGTTACCATAGCTTTGTTTTCCCTGAATTACGTCTATGCATATTTTACATGATGTACTTTCTGACCTCATTGACAAAGTAGATGTTTATCATAAAATTTAAGATTTCTGTAGAGCATGATTAATCAACACACACAAAGGTGCTATTATTATAAAAATTCTTCTCTACCCTTTCACGTAAGTCAAAGTTACATAAAACAATATTGATTATTGTGCATTAAGTGCCCAATCCTTTCTAGTAAACTAAGTTCCCAGCTTTAGGCAGACCCCCCATGTGGTGATAAGAGCTTGAGACCTGGCAGTCAGTGGGTGACAGGCACTGGGCCAAATCACCCTGACAGTTCCTCTCCATAATAAATCTGAGAAGCTAATCTCTGCTACATTGCTAATGGCTGCTAATGAGATACTGAGTACTCAGTCACTCGGCTTGATAGTGTTTTTGCATTTAAATGGGACCTTTCTGGAAGGACTCCTTAACCTAAAGGGGTGGTTTGAATGCTGGCAGCTTTGATACACGGCCTCTGGCTCTGGTTTCAGAATGCCATTGCAGAGACTCATGATATCATTAGGGTGTTTGATCTCTAACTCCAGAATATCAGAAAGGAAGCATTGCAGACCTCCAAGTCATGATTTGAAGATTGTTTTGTTTTGTTTTTAAAAGGATTGTGCAATGAAAAGTCATGGAGTAAAAAATTGATCTCTTTCACGTCACTCTAGTCACTACTCATTAAATTAAATTATCTGGCCTACTGGTGTGTGTCAAGTTTCAAGCAAACAGAATCAAACCCATTATGTTGACATAAGACATTTCTCATTTCTTTTTTTCTCTTTTTCTTTCTAGTTCCCTTATGCCTCTCGCTATGGTATAGTATCTGAAGCAGTTCATTCCTGCCATTGAACATCTTTAATTTTTGTCTTTTCTCTAGCACCATCAACATCAGTTATCCTCCATGAGTAGAAAGAATCTGGTAAGAGTACTTTGATGGTTGAAGGAACCTAAGTTATCACGAGAAACTGTCTAAACCTCCAGTAAGTCTGGCTTCACAGAATGCAAACTCTACCAGGAAGGACAATACACTATGTTCTGGGATTGTCCCAAATCGCCACACTAATTCCCCGCTGCCTCACATAAATTGAAAGAAAAGATTAAACATCTACGTTCACTCTTAAGGACAAGCCTATGTAATAACCATTGCTCTCCTTATTTCAAAAATGAGACAAAGTCGGGTTATGAATGGAAAGATCCAAGCCTTTGTCTGTTGACCTACAAAACCCCTGACCTTCAGAGTCATCCTAGTCTTCTGGTTCCCCTCATCTTCTCATTCTCCCTTAACTTTATGTGAATCTTTACCTCCAACACCTGACACCTAGCAAACCCTTCAACTAAACCAGCATGTTCTCTCTTCAAAGGTATTTAGAACTTTAAAGGAGTTAGAAGCCTGCTCAAGTGGACAAAGATAACATTTATCAAGTATGAGCTCCCTGTAACATCTGCACCAGGCATTTCACATCATCACATTCATCACCAAACCTCACAATAACTTCCTGTGGCCAGGATCCTCACCTTCTTTTTACCGTGGCTCCCTTTGACAATCTGGATCGGTCCACTTAAGTCTTCTTAAAATAACATATTCTTAAAACTATTTTGTTTGTTTTTTAGAAGGGGATAAATGAGGTTTATTTATTTATGTATTTAATGAAGACACTGGGGATTGAGCCCAGGAACTCTACCATTGAGCTACACCCTCCCTGCAAAATAACACTTTTAAATTCATAAAGTATATAGAATTTCAATGGAAACTAACTGCTAATTTTTAAATGCAGTTATTAGAATATTTTAAAAGCCAAATTTATGATATAGAAATATATGAGCATTTAAACTCATTAAATAGCAAGATGTAACAGAGATTCTATGAACTACTAAGAAACAGTGATGTTGGGAGATGGGTTAACAATTCTGATACACATGCACTGGAATTGAACAATAAAGTACATAGATGGCAGATGGTGATAGCCACATTTCTCACTATTGAAGTGTGAATTACACATAAGCAAGAGGAAGAAGTGAAAATAATCTGTGTTAATGGGTTATAGTTGCAGATATCAGTATACACTCACTTAGCTCAATATAGACATAGATAGTTACATATATGTGTATATACATGAGTTCATATACATCTATTTCTCTGCACTCTCATTTAAGAGAGCCTAAACAAATGATACCCCATTAGCAACTAGCACACCTAGAGCCCGGATCTTGGTTTCTGTTATCATTCTCCAATAAAAGGAATCAGGGCTCCCTGGAGAAATGACTGAGTCTAGGACTGGGGCAGGAATATGCAAAATAAGCCCGGAACATCTTGTGGTACCAGAAAGTTAGGAAATGTAAACACATATAATAGTACACACACACACACACACACACACACACACACATCAAACAGAGTATGCCAAAGAAACAAAAGCACCAACAGAAAGAACTCCTAAAGGGCAAAGCTGGAACAATTTTGGAATAATTTGAACAAAGTAAAGCGGTATTAGATTTTAACCCAAGTATAAAATAAATACCTACAAATCTCTGATACAAATAAATAATTGAATAAACTACTATTTAGGGGAAAATAGACAAATCTCGCAGAAGAATTCTGAATACTTTATGTACATACTCTGCCCTCAAGGAGGTTGAGCATAACTCTCCATTCCTTAGGTGTGAGCTTGACAGAGTGACTTCCACCAAGTGCAGTGCGGAAGGATTGGAGGCGTACTCTAGAGTGGAGAAATATGAGATGCTACCCCAGCCAGGTTATCATGGTCAACATCAACAGTCAAATCACTTTGATAGTATATACCCTTGATACGATGTTATAAATATGGCCCATTATCTGTGGTTGTCCTCCCAATAAACCACAATCCCATTCTTATCATGAAAAAAGCATCAGACACATGACATTAGTGGGTTCTGCTACAGAGTACTTGACCACCACTCCTCAAAACCATCAAGGTTATCAAAAACAGGAAAAGCCTGAGAAACGATCACATCCCAGAGGAGTCGAAGGGGACTTGATAACTAAATGAAATGCAGTATCCTGGATGGAAACCTGAAACAGAATTAAGGACATTAGATAAAAGCTGAGGAAATCTGAATGAAGTACAGACTTTGGTTAATATTGTAGTATTAATATTGGTTCTTCAATTGTAGCAAAAATACCATACTAGTATAAGGTGTTAATAATAGAAGAAATTGGGAATGGGATACGTAAGAACTCCATACTATCTCCTTAATTTTTCTGTACATCTAAAACCATTCTAAAAATATATAGTCTAGGCCTATCCATGGAGATCATCATTCTATGTAAATTTAAGTCAGAAAGAGAAAGAAAAATACCATATATCATTCATATGTGGAATCTAAAAAAAAGAAAAAAAGACGCAAAAGTACTTGTTTACAAAACTGAAACAGACTCATAGACATAGAAAACAAACTTATGGTTACCAAGGGGGAATGGGGGGTGGGAAGGGATAAATTGGAAGTTTGAGATTTGCAGATACTAATGACTATATCTAAAACAGATAAACAAGTTTCTTCTGTATAGCACAAGGAACTGTATTTAATATTTTATAGTAACCTATAATGAAAAAGAATATGAAAAGAAATATATGTATATCTATGACTGAAACATTATGCTTTAGACCAGAAATTGACACCGACTATACCTCAGTTAAATAAATAAATAAATAAAAGTCTATTAAATAAAACAAAAAAGGCAACAATGATTTCATTGTAACATTAGGGTAGTGATATTTTGAGATACCAAAAAAAAATGCAATGGAAATTATCTGTGACATCTATTGGTGACAAAGTCACACATACTTCTAATATTACTGTGTTTGTTGTCTGCATTTATATTTAGAGGAAATGTTAAATTTCAGTTAGATGTTAGTGAAATTAAAGATGCAATATTCCCTTCCAGATTCCACATACCCTTTGATGCATATTAAGAACTCCCTGCTTTTTGGTCTTATTTATGGACTAATTTTATGAAAGTAAAGCTCAGATTGATGAATTAGGTTGTTTCAGCTTCCAAAAAGTATGCATTCCAGGGTCAAGACTTCTTACTGAGTTTTGCTGGAACGCTGTTTACTATACTATCTCCCAATTTTGGAACTGCTAAACAGAGGGTTGGGAACACCTCATAGATCAAAAGTACTGCCTCGGTCCTGTGTAATTGCAGTATTTAGGTTGCTGAGCATATCCAAGGGTAAAGCTGGCCCAGATCTAGTGACGGGCAATTAATTCTAAACGCAAGTTGAATGGGAGAACTCCACTCACACAGAACCCTAGTGTTAAAGAGCCTCTCTACTTGGGAATGGCTCAACATTGGGTAAAGAAACTCTGGTTCAGCTGTAAATACAGCTCATCCTTGACCTTTTTTCCCCCCCTTAAATCCTCAAACTGCTGATCTGGTCAGTTCAGGAGAGCAAGAAGAGGGCAAGGAGGGAGGGAGGAAGACTGAGACAGAACGAAAGATAGCTGGTGCCAATTTAAAGAGAGAAAGGCTTATATGCATATATGCTCATATTATTCCTGAAGCCAATTCTGATACCTTCGGGAAAGAGAGATACAGCCATCTGTTAATGTGGATTCAGCTTCTTTGTTTCCAAATGTTATAGCTGTCACCAGAACAGCCATCCCAGTTGGGGTAGGGCGGGGTGTGGGGGTTTAGAGAGGGAACATCTGTCCACTAAGTGCACCACTAAACAGCAAAAAATCCTAGGGCGACCCATGTCTCTTTCCTTGAGTGCTTTCTCTAGTCGGTCCTACTTCTCCAATCCTTTGGGAGTTTCCTGTTCCATTACGTAGGCAAGAGGGCGAGAGGTCCCAGCTTTCATAATTGTGAGTGGTTTGGCTGTGTGTGTACGTGCGCGTAATTGTGTGTATGTTGGGGGAAACTGGAGCCTGCTACAACGGGTTTAGAAAAACTGATTGTCCATTTGAAACACTCTCGGAGTGTTCGAATGTTTACCTTAAAAGATAACCCCACTCTCAAATTCTGTAAAATGAACAATACTGATAAGGAAGATGTAGAGGGTGGGAAACCCACACAGTGGAATGGAGCTGTCCATGCCGCGAAAGTGACAGGGGAGCGCTCGGAGGAAAGGCGAGATGCAGAGAAAGTCTCTCTGGCTCTTCTCTCTCGGGCCACCATCCGGCGCCGCTTCTTCTGTAAAAGCATTAATAGAAAATAATCCTAAAACCAGGACGGGTTGCGATCGTCCCGCGCAGTTTCCAGGCGTCTTCCCCGCCGCCGGGAGAGGTCCCTCTCCCCCCGTGGCAGGCGCGGAATGTGGCGATCCGGCCCGGGGCGGGGGATGACTTCATGCGGCCGGAGCTCGGCGGCGGGAGCAGCTGCTGCAGCTGGCAGGTGGGGTGGGGGCCGGCCGAGCTGACCACGCTCAGGGCCCGGCGCGGCGGCACTGCGGCCCCGGGGCAGCGGGCGCCGGGGACCTGCGCTGACTCGATCCGGAGAAGGTAAGCGGCTCCGCTATTATGAGCCTCGGCCACCATGCGCGTTGCTTTCCGCTCGGTTAATAAAGGGGTTTGTGTTACAGAGGGGAGAAAGGGAAATATCCCTGCTGCATTCTGCAGTGGGAAAAGGAGCAACAACTGGAATTGAAATGTTAATCAGCCAAGTGCCTGAGATTGGAGGAGCAGTGTTATTGGGCAAACAAAGAAGGCGGTCAGCCCTCTGTACTCAAAGATGATCGACCATTGCAATGCCAGACTCGCTTAGAGAATGAAAGAGGATTCAAAATGTAAAATAATTTGAGTTGCACTTTTACGTTGCTACCTTCAACCTTCACTTGGTTGTTTGCTGGTTTGGGAGCCGCAGGTCCCTGACAGCAGCCCGGGGAAGTAATCAGAAATCTTCCCTCTCCTGCCTTCCTCTGTCTTCTCCCTTTCCAGTTATCGGAATGGGTCTGTGCACATTTCAATGTCAAACACTTCAATACTGAATCTCTAGAAAGAGTCTCAAATTAGGGGAGAAACTTAGCTCCTGGAGTTCAGCTTGGGTTGAGCAGCACTTGTCTCCACTTCTCCCTTCATTTACCATCTTCTCTGTCAATCATTTCATTGATTCCCCCCACCCGCCAGGGATGCTTTGCCCATTCACAGGCCAACTCTTGTCAGTTCCTGTCTACCACCTCTGTTCCATGACTGATTTTGTCAAGCACCCAGAAAGGGCATTGCCCTACACCACTTTTGGTATTCTCTCTATACACTGTTACCTGTGTCCTTCCCCCAAATACATAGCATGAAAAAAAAAATCCTTTTAGCCCAGTACCAACATGGTTTCCGATAACTCCCTTCATTGTAGTCACTGTGGCTACCAGAGGCGTTTAGGGGACAGCAGGATCTGTTGGGGCGTGAGAAAGAGGGTTATACCTACATATTTCACTCCCCGTGCGTAGGAATAGGTAGAAGTAGAAACGAGAATGCCAGTCTATCCAGTTTTTCTTGAAGCTTTTTTAGTCCAGCGGGGTTGTGAGTCACCTACCTGGGCAGAATATGGGGCTAGTCCTCCCCCCAAAGCAAGCAGTGTGTTTGTCCTAGGATTCCCCAGTAACCTCGAAAGAGTTTCCAGAGAGGCTTTGCCCACAGGCAGTTAGGAAGCCAGTGGAACTGGCCAATCTAAGCCTCGGGTTATTTGAGCACCTTCAAGTTAGTCTCCCCTTTTAGGGGTTCTGACCTAGGATTTTGCCACAGAAGCCTTGCTTCTGAGCGCAAGTGCCTACTCCTGTTGCCACCTAGAGATTTACATTTGAATGATATGCTGTGAAATGGTTAAGATGGCTGTGATGGGGATTGCAAATGTGCCACTTCACCAATGGAGAACAGTTGCAGTAAGCCAGACTGGGGGTGTCTGTGTGCCAGTATTCTATTTAAAAGGAGATTGGTTATCTTTAAATTTGAAATTAAAGAGACAGTCTGACTCAACAGCCATGTAATTTTATTTTAGCAAATCAAAACAGGAGATCAGTGAGAAGAGGGGCAGGATTTACAACTAAAAAAATTACCTCTGCTTATTTTCCTTTTTTAATATTGCTTTTAGACAAAGATACTGGTTCTGAAGAATCATGCTAATTCTATTATATATATCATTATTATTTTTCTGATTATGAATTCTCTATTTATAAATGCACTTTGGAAAGATCTGAGTTGGTTTCTTTGTCTCTACCTTCAGTATATGAGGCAGAGGGAATGGAGGGGGTGGGCAATTCCCACTCCAAGTAGCCCAATTCAGGAACTGTTTCCCTAGACCTTGAAAACCTCTCAGGACCAATTTTTTTTTTTTTTTGGCTTGCTTTTTGTTATTATGATCTATTGAATGCTGTTTGGATTTAGAATACCAAAATTTCAAGATTCTAAAATTTTAACTCAGGCCCACCAACTAGAAGAGGGAACAAAGAAGAAGAACAGCAAAACCCATTCTTCTGTCCCCTTTCTTGCCTAATCATAAAATATTGAACTATATGAATAATTATTTTGAATAATAAGTGAAAAAATAGTAAAAATACTAATTCATTTTTAAGAAAGTATCCCAAATCGTACGAAAGAGAGATTAGTGCAGTTGATCTTAAGTATAATGAAAATTTCTGTAATTTTAAAAGGCATCTTTATGTTGAAGAGTAATACATGGAGATATCCTAATGATTGTTAAACACTTTAAGTGTCTATTACTTGGTTTTTGGAGAAGCTGAATTCTTTGGCACGAAGTGAGTGAGGATTAGGGGACTGGTGCTGTTTAGGCTGGCATCATACCTGTCAGTATTTTACAGCTAAGATGCATACATTTAGTGATGGACTGGGTTGGAGAAGCCTTTTGGGGAATAAAGAAAACAGAAAATTTAATTTCTCATTTCAGTGTAACTAAGATAATTAAATTTAGAGGATTTCTGAATTTGGACTTGGTTATATTTAAACAATTTTAGAAGAAAGTTCCCAAATTCAGAGCCCTAGGAAGAAATGTTTGTATGATTTCCTGACTGAAACTGATTGATAAGTTTCTTTCCCTTTTTTAAACGTTTCTCAGAGAAAGGAAAAATTAATTGCCTGGTGTTAAGAAATGAAGGAGGAATACAAACTAGAAGAATGTGCACTGTTAGGTGCTAAATGAACTGTAGGAACTTTTAGTAGCTTTAACAAGATAGAATTGAAATCAATCTGTGGCTTTCTAATTACATTTAAAAAAATATTTAGTCTGGTGCGTGGTCAGGTGTTATTAGTAACTTAAGAGAGTGCAAATTTTGGAGTCAAAGTTGCCCTTTCCTAACAAAAGGCATATTCTGGTGCTGTATTGCTGCCCTTAGTTACAATTGAAAGAGCTTATTCTGAGATTTTGAAAAATGGAAAAAGAAAAAGAAAAGTAGGATTAATAACGCTGAAGAAGAATTGTCATTTCTATTTAATCATTGCCTCCACTGAGAATGGGTAGAAAAAGTGCTATTTTGAAAGTTGTCAAAGGTTTCTTCATTGCCAGATTTTTGTGCTGTTTCACCCTGTTCATTGTCTTTATTTTTTTAAGTTCTCTCGAATGTTCTTTTTTTTTTTAAATTAAATGCTTGTAAAAGTATTATCAATAGTCAATATGTATCAGGCACTGAGATATCTCTTTATCTAGCTTCTCACTAATCCCCTTAAATTACCCCATGACCAGCCTAAACCAACCGGTCTTCATTTCCCGTTTGTGCCCCATGATGCATGCCTGTATGTCTTCTGTTCCTTTAACTCACTCTGCTGCATGTTGAAACTTTGTTCACATCAGATACTGCCTCTTCCGTGAAGCCTTCCCCGTACCCACCTTCCTTCTTGCGTCAAATGTGTTTCACCCTTGTCTAAATTCCTATGGCACTTTCTGTCTTGGTCTGTCCTTTTCTGTGAACATGCTTTGCTCTTCTAAAAGAGCCCTGGAGAGCAGAGTCTGTGACTAATAACTTTTTATTATCTACAACTCATAGTACAGTGCTTAGCTATGTGTATGCAAGGTAGACAGATGTTCAACAATTTGATTTAAGTGAACAAATTCAGTATTTTCCAGGGGTGTACATCTACCTACTCAACTAGTCGAGATAGGCTCTAAATATGTGTGTAAGTACCGTTTTAGTTGTTTAAAATCCTTATATAATAATAAATATAGTGAAAGTATATTCAAACAGTTACATTTAACAAAAGTTATTGTG